GTACAGCGCCAGTTCAGACTGACACAGCCCGAGCTCGACGAACTGAGGAAGCAGTTAGATTATTTGTTAGAGAAGCAGTTTATTCGACCAAGTTCGTCACCGTTCGCCGCACCGATACTGTTCACACCGAAAAAAGACGGAGGGTTTCGCATGTGCATCGATTACCGAGCGCTCAACAGGGTAACAGTCAAATCGCGGTACCCCATTCCCCGCGCCGACGAACTGATCGACCAACTGCGAACAGCACGGGTGTTTTCGAAAATAGACTTACGGGGGGGTTACCATCAGATTCGGGTCGAACCATCGGACTGCGCCAAGACAGCATTTAGGACTAGGTACGGGTCGTTTGGGTACACGGTGATGCCTTTCGGGCTGACCAACGCGCCCGCAACATTTCAGATGACCATGAACAAGGCGTTTAGGCCACTCTTAGATAAATGCGTGATAGTTTACCTCGACGACATCCTCGTCTACAGTCGCTACAAGCAGCAGCACTTAGCGGATCTCGAAGCAGTATTTAAAGTTTTAGAGGAACATCGGTTACTCACCAAGGGCTCTAAGTGCGAGTTTTTTCGGGACAGACTAGAATTTTTGGGGCACGTTATTTCGGAGGCTGGAGTTGAAATCGACCCAAAGAAGCTGGATACGGTAAAAGCGTGGCGTCCCCCGACGAACATCACGGAACTGCAGAGTTTTTTAGGGTTCGTTAATTATGTTCGTCGGTTCGTCCCCGACATGGCACAGTTGACTGCCCCGCTGACGGATTTACTGCGAAAGGGGGTCGTTTTTACGTGGGGGGAGAAAGAGCATGCTGCCTTCTCTGCCCTGAAAAATGTTCTCTGTTCACCGCCCGTCCTGCGCATCGCCGACCCACACCGCCCCTTCGAGGTTGTTACAGACGCAAGCGACATCGCCATTGGAGCCGTACTGCTACAGGACTTCGGCAACGGCCTACAACCCATCGCATACGAGTCACGAAAACTGCATCCGCCCGAGCGAAATTACCCGATACACGACCGCGAAATGCTCGCGATCGTGCATGCGTTCAAAGTGTGGCGCTGCTACTTGACCGGCGCAGACGTGACAGTACGGACAGACCACCGATCACTACAGTACCTCCGCGCACAGCCCCACCTCAACCCACGACAGATTCGGTGGCTCGATTTCCTCGAGTCAAACTTCCACTACACAGTCACCTATAAAAAAGGAGCCTCGAACATCGCCGACGCACTGAACCGCCCCACTGCCCAGATCCACGCGATACTACTCGCCCAGACCAGCCCGCTACTGACAGGACTATTTACCCACGGATATCAAACGGACCCATTCTTCACTGGAGGAAATTCGCAGCAGTTCGCAGCAGCCAAGGGAGTCTATTACGTAAAAGCCGGGACCGACCGCATCTGGGTACCAGGGTACACACTGCTACGGGAATTACTATTACAGGAGGCACACGACGGGGTTACCTCGGGACATTTCGGGGTAGAGAAAACACGGCAGCAGCTGCAGCGGTATTATTACTGGCCCGAAATGTTGACCGACGTGCAGCGACACGTGGCATCGTGTCCCACTTGCCAGATCATGAAGTCAACACGGAAGCGGCCGGCGGGACAGTTGCAGCCAATCCCACCTCCAGAGCGTGCTTGGCAGCAGGTGACGATGGACTTCGTCACGGGGTTACCGGCCGGGGCGAGTGGAAATGACGCGATCCTGATCGTCGTCGATCGACTGACGAAAATGGCACATTTCGCAGCCTGCAAAAAATCAATCACAGCCGAAGAAACAGCCCGCCTCTTCATCTCTACCGTCGTTCGACTGCACGGGATACCAGCATCAATCATCAGCGACAGAGACACGAAATTCACCAGCAACTTCTGGCGGAACCTGTGGCAGCAGTTCGGCACGCGACTACAGTTTAGTTCATCGTACCATCCCGAAACAGACGGACAGACAGAACGGACAAATCAGACCATGGAACAGCTCATCCGGGCCACGTGCGACGACCCAAACACGTGGGAACAGCAACTGCCACTCATCGAATTCGCATACAACAACGCCCCATCCGCCACGACCCAACAGTCACCGTTTTACCTGAATTACGGACAAGACCCAACAGTACCCATGACCCCGAATCCCGACAACCCGGTTCCACGCGCGCAACAGTTCGCCGAAATTTTGCAAGCAGCACGGACCAGGGCAGCAGACGCAATTAAAAAAGCTAACATCATCGCTAAACGCAACGCCGACCGCCACCGCAGACCTGTCACTTACCAGCCCGATGACTTAGTTTTGCTCGACACCCAAAATCTCCGACTGCCCATCACCCCGAAACTCCGCCCCCGATACTGCGGGCCATTTCGCATAAGCCACATGCTTACACCTGTCACCGCCCACCTCCTCCTCCCTGCTGACTGGTACGTCAGCCCCTCGTTCCACGTCAGCCTGCTTCGCCCTTACGTCCCGTCCACGAGCCAACTGCCACGCAATCGCCCAGCCAGTATGACAAGACCACCGACTGAACCAATCATCACCCCCGAGAAAATCCTGAGACACAGAGTTCGCGACCCTCGAGGAGCCCGAAGGATCGAGTTCTTACTCCGCTGGAAGGACCGTACACCCACCGAAGACAATTGGGTTCCCCTGGACAGAATCGAAAACCACCCCGTCCTCACCGAGTATCTGCGCAGCCGGAATTTCAGGGATGTACACGCACTTTCGTAAGGAGGACCTCCTTAAGGGGGGGGGTAGTGTAAGGAAAATCTCTTTTTCCTTACTTCGCGTCCCTGCTCAACGCGTACATCACTGTAGCACCACAGTCAGCACCGTTACCACTCGCAATCCTCGCATCGACAATCCGCCCGCCACCTTCGCACGTCGCACCCCGACCTCACGGCTCGGCGGGTAACCCGCGCTCCGGGCCTCCGCTTCGACACTTTTCCCAACCTCAGTCCCAGGCCCGTCGCGCGACAACCACAGTCCATTACCGTTACCACTGTAGTTTCACTATATATTCTTCGCTCATGCCTTCGCTCATTGTACTCTTGCTTCGATAGTGCAATTCTCGTTCGTTCACTCAATTGCACTCGTAACACTGTGCAATCCTCAAGAGGATGTGAGGGCGTCCCACGAGATTGTTGTCAGCCAATGAATCACTCTTCAGACTGGTGGGTCACGGTTCAAAGAAGTGGAACAGACAAACCGCTCTAAAAGAGTTTGAACCGTTCTCCACCGCAGAATCTGAGCCAAAAAGGAACTGGTGGGGCACGCCCTGAGAAAAATTCTGCTCATACATAATGCCATCCTTGCACATCGAGCCTTCATTCCAGTCACAAAGCTCATGTTCTTGGAGTCAGTTTTCCGTCGACTGTCATCATGTCTTACTGTGAGTGTCATTCACGTCCTTCGTTCAGCGGATCGCTTTGCTATTTGTTCTCCCCTTTATAATAGCTCTGACTTGTTCCGCTGAATTCGTGCTTGCATCCTTCCCAGACGGCGGAACGGACCCCAGCCCGTATGACTATCCTCGCCCAGGTTCGTCGCTATCTCGTTCCGCCCATTACCGCTCGGTAAATTTCACCCTGGTTTTCGCCTTTCTCGCCAAGCATTCGGTTTACGTACTGATTCGTTGTACCGTTTTCAGATGGCCCCACACCACGTGGGGATGTGGTCGTGACTGGTCTTACTGGCGGATACGACAGTGAGAAGAAAGGCAAGGGCCGCTTTTGTAAGGGCAGGTTCAAGGGTGGCTTTCGTGGCAAGCACAAAAGACACTTCGGAGGACACAAGCGTAAGGGCTTTCGTGGCAAGCATAAGGGTGTCTTCAGGCGCGGCCGTAAGCACAAATAGAAGGCTTTCATGTTCATGAGTGTTGATATGCATCTAACCCATCTGTATCTGATTTTGCGCACGAGAATGTGCTGCTTTCGTAATGTGCTGAAATAATCAGCATTGTACGCATTCGCCATTCCCAGTTGCCATTGTCTGGAGTTCTTGTTGTCTTGGACCTTTCGCCCATGTTTTGTTTATTTCACGCAAAGTCTGTTCTCTTACCGGTATAACTAGCGAACTGGAAAGACTATAAGAAGTTCTCTTATTACTATTAGGGAACTAAGATCGAAAGAAATTCCAGCCCGTGGAGTGGAAATTGCTGTGAGCACCAAAGTATGAATCACAGCTTACGTAGTGTGAAAGGAGCTTGACGCTGTTCGTTTAAAGCCCGAGTACAGTTCAAGATAGAAGAACTCAAAATCTCCAAAAATAGGGTTCGTTACCTTTCTTGTTTTGAAAGAAAGATGGCGGCGATCCTGGAAGATCTTTATGTGAAAACGAATCTCAGCTGACTTGTGTCCCTAAAACCAAATCTGAAGTGATAATTGTTGAGCTGGATTCATTCCAACAACAATCTTCCCCTCGTCGCTTGCGCTTCCTCTGACCCATTCGTTCCCAGTAACTTATTGTAGTAAAAACCTATCTCGTGCTTCGTGCCATGCCATGCCATCCATATTATATCCCATCCCAGTTTACTTAGTGGCATCCACGTTCACTTCACAGCCCCTCCCAGCACAGCTTTAATCGCTCGCACCAGCATCTCAATTTCGAAGGGTTTAGTAGCACACCCATCCATACCCGCATCAAAGCACTGCTCCTTGTACCAGTGTAACATCATCCTTTTACAGAGATCCACACAAGTGATCAGGTGAGTCAATCAGTTAGTCAATCTCATTCGCCCCCTTTTTAGTTAGTCGCTCTCCATCTTAACTTCGTGCAATTGTACCAATCCCCCATTTCGTGCCATCCACGTTCACAGCCCCTTTACCACGGCCTTAATTGCTCGCACCAGCAACTCAATAATGCAGAAGGGCTTCGCTCAATGTTGACAGGTATACCCATCCATGCCCGCTTCAAAGCACTGCTCCTTGTACCCGGCCATTGCATTCCCTCTCCCCCTCCCCCATCTTTGCACTTGTGCTGCCTGCCCACCACCCATGTCAATCAGCCGTCTATTTAGTGCCATCCACATTCACCGCTCCTCCCAGCACGGCTTTAATCGCTCGCACCAGCATCTCGATTTTGAAGGGTTTAGTAGCATACCCATCCATACCCGCTTCAAAGCACTGCTCCTTGTACCCAGCCATTGCGTGTGCCGTCAACCCCACTATGCCTATCCTTCTTCCCTCTCCCCCTCCCCCTCCTCCCGCCCCTCCCCCTCCCTCTCCCCCTGACCCTCCCCCTTCTTTCCCGTCCTTCTGCCCGTGCTGCTGCCCCTTGTGGTGCTGCCGTGCTGCTTTGCTGCCCGAGAGTCGCCTCCTGGAAGCTTCCAGCTGGCGGATGCGGCGAGTGGCCTCCAGCCCATCCATCACCGGCATCTGAAAGGAAATGCAAGTTGGTAAAGGAGGAGGAAAGGATTGTTTTTTAGATCGACTACTATTATTCATTGACTCAAGCATGCGGCGAGTGGCCTCCAGCCCATCCATCACCGGCATCTGAAAGGAAATGCAAGTTGGTAAAGGAGGAGGAAAGGATTGTTTTTTAGATCGACTACTATTATTCATTGACTCAAGCATGCGGCGAGTGGCCTCCAGCCCATCCATCACCGGCATCTGAAAGGAAATGCAAGTTGGTAAAGGAGGAGGAAAGGATTGTGGCGGCGGGTGGACCAGGAATGATGGTGGGCATCGAGACAGGGACAATGATGGTGGTGGTGGCGGCAGGGGTGGCGGCAGGGGTGGCGAAGTCAATAACTCCACTGCTGCCGACGATAGCGAAAACTATGCCGACAAACACAACACACCTGAATGTCCATGAGAATGAGGTCGAACGACGCCGCCCGCTCCTCCATGGCAGTGAGAGCGAGCTGCCCGTTGCCCACCACCTCGACGCGAGCGCCCTGCTTGGAGAGGGCGTGTGTGGCCACGCGCTGGTTCACCAGGTTGTCCTCTGCTAGCAATATGCGCACCCCTGCCAGCATGGCCACTAGAGGCCCGCTCTTGTTCCGCGCTGCTACTGCTCCTGCTGCTGCTGCTCCTGCTGGTCCCACTGCCACTGCTCCTGCTCCAGTGCTGCTCACTGCCTGCTGCGGCGGCGGCGGCTGCGGCTGCTGCTGCTCATGCTGTCCCTCGTGATGGTGATGGTGATGGTGGCGATGGTGGTGGTGATGCTTCTTGTGCTGCCTCTCCCCTCCCTCCTGCTCTAAGCTGCGCCTATCATCGCCACCAGAGCCAGCAGCAGCAGCACTGCCATCCCCACTGCCCTGCCCAAGCCCAGTCGGAGACAGGTTTGAGCTGCTGCGGCTGCTCCTGCTGCTCCTACTGCCGCCCGCATTCGCACTCACAGCAGCGCTCACAGAGCCTGTCCGAGGCTCGTCAAGGCTGCTCCTGCTGCTCTTACTGCCCCCAGGATTTCCACTCACAGCGGCAGCGCTCATAGAGCTTTTCTGAGGCGCCTCAAAGCTGCTTCTGCTGCTGCTGAAGCTGCCGCTGCTGCTGATCCCTTGCCCACTCTTACCCCCCCTGCTGATAGGCCTGCTCATAGCAACGGCAGCTGGGGAGTCCTTCTCAGACGCAGCCGGGGTGGTGGGGGACTTTTGAGCGCGGTTGAAAGCGGTGCTGCTGGCAGGCGTGGTAGGTGTGACCCCCTCAACAGGAGTGTTGGCAGCGGTGGTGGTGGGGGTGGTGCCATCAGCAGGGGTGAGCGCAGTGGGAGTGGTGGAGGTGGAGGAAGTAGCAAACGAGTGAAAGAAAGAGGTAGAGCCATCGGCAGTGGTGGGGGTCCAAGGGTCAGAGCCTGAGGCAAAGGTACGAGAGGAGAGATGAGAGTCAACAGTGCATGAGGATTCGAGAGTGTATGATGGTTCGAGGGCACGAGAGGAGCCCACAAAGGGGTTACTGAAACTCGCCGTCCCGCTGCCGCCGCTGCTGCTGCTGGTGCTGCCGCTGATCCTCCTGCTCCTCCCACCCGCTTTTCCTCCCTTGTCCTGCCGATATGCCTCTTCCATGGACCCCGATAAGGGGCCAGATAAGGGGCCTGATGATAGGGAGCCTGATAGGGGCCCTGACCCATCCTCCACTTCCATTCTGTTAGATGCAGCTGCGGCTGTAGCAGCTGTGGCAACAGCAGTGGTGCCAGCATCAGCTGAAGCAGCAGCAGCACTGCCAGAAGCAGCAGCAGCAGAAATAGAAGCTGGAGGCAGGGTGGTTGCAGAGCCAGAGCCAGAGCCAGAGCCAGAGCCAGAGCCAGAGCCAGAGCCAGAGCCAGAAGCGGACTCAGAATGTGCGGGTTCCGAAGCACCAGAGGCAAAGGGAGGGGAGGAGAGGCAGGTCAGGGAGACAAGGGGCAGTGCAAGAGGCGATGGGAGGGCCGGTCGGGGTAGAGTGTGGTGGGGTGGAGGGTGGGAGAGGAGGGCGGGTGGGAGAGAGGGGAACAGATGGGGTGTGTGGTTGGGATCCATCGGCGAGAGTGGGATGTTCCATGGACTGGAATCTGCCTCTGATGCCTGCTGCTCCTCTTGCTGCTTCTCCTGCCCCTGCTGCCCCTGCTGCTGCTGCTGCTGCTGCCCCTGCTGCTGCTGCTGCTGCTGCTGCTGCTGCTGCTGCTGCTGCTGCTGCTGCTGCTGCTGCTGCTGCTGCTGCTGCTGCTGCTGCTGCTGCTGCTGCTGCTGCTGCTGCTGCTGCTGCTGCTGCTGCTGCTGCTGCTGCTGCTGCTGCTGCTGCTGCTGCTGCTGCTGCTGCTGCTGCTGCCTGCTGTTGCTGCTGCCCCTGCTGTTGCTGCTGCCCCTGCTGCTGTCCCTGCTGCTGCCCCTGTTGCTGCCCAAGCTGCGTCAGTGCTCTCGCCACAGCATCACGCCCTGCTCCTTCCTTCGCCTCCCTCCTTTCCATATCCACCCCATGCCCACCCACTTCCCTTTCCCCTTCCCCTTCCTCCGTTCCTTCCAAAACCGCTCCCCCTTCCCTTTCCCCTGCCTCTTCTCCTTCCTCCCTCTCCTCCAAAATTCCGTCCCCCTCCCTCTCCCTCTGTGACCCTTCCCCCTCCCGCTCCCCTTCTCTCACTCGGCTCAGCTTCCTGGAAAGTACCGCACCAGAAGCCGACCGGCTACCGAAGCTCATGCCGCCCAGCACCGGACCTGGAACCAACACCGAGGCAGACCTGCTCCCGTAGCTCAGCCCGGGCCTGCTCTCCGAGCCTGTCTGGAAACCTGCGCCTGAACCAGACATATGGCTACCGGCTACTCGACCCGTCTCCGAGCCTGGTGCAGGCCCGGGACCTACAGATTCAGGTCCGGGCGGAATCGCAGGTTCGGGCCGGACCGGGCTCCTATCCCGAACCTTTCTGGGGATACCGAGGAGTTGGGATGGGTCAGAGCGTGTGCGGATAAGAGCAGACTGCGGGTGGGGGGGAAGGCCAGAGGAGAGGGCAGTCGGAGCAGCAATGGGAACAGCAGCAGAGGTGTAGGAGTGGGAGGGCGAGGTGCGTAGGCTCTTGCTGCTGAAGGAGAAATGAGGGTTGGAGGCAGCAGAGGGGACGGTGGTGGAGGAGGGAGGGTGGGACGAGAGAAAGTGAAACTGTGGCTGCTGTTGCTGCAGATGCTGCTTCTTTCCCCCGGGCACTGCAGCAGCTGGATCTCTCCCCACGGCCGATGTGGCACTAGCTGCAACATTAGCACCAGCGCTAGTGGCAACACTGACACCTGCACTAGCACCGGACCCTGTTCGGGCTAGCTTCCCACCTGAACCAGCACCTGAGAATCCACCTGAAGCAGCACCGCCGCCAGCAGCAGCTGCAGCTGCAGCAGCCGCAGCCGCAGAGGTGAAGGAGCGAGAGGTGTGGGAGGCAGGGTGGGGTAGCGAGGTGGCCGTGAGGAGAGGGCGCTGACGCTTGTGGGGCGGGTTGAGGGCAGCAGAGACAGAGGATTGGAGTGCCTGTGTGTGGGGAAAGGGTGGGAGAGAAGAGAGAGGGAGGAGGGGTGGGGAGAAGACAAAAGGGAGCAAGGAGGTGGCTGTGAGGAGAGCGCGTTGGCGCTTGTGGGGCGGGTTGAGAGGGCAGCAGAGAGAGAGGATTGGAGTGCCTGTGTTGGGAGGGAGAAGGGAAGAAAGGTGGGGAAGAGGAAGGGGCAGAGGGAGGGGGAGCAGGAGGCAAATTTGGCTGTGAGGAGAGGGCACTTGAGCTTGTGGGGCAGGTTGAGGGCAGCAGAGGAAGAAGACTGGCGTGCCTGTGGTGGAGGGAACAAGAGGGATTAGGGGGAGGTGGCTGAGAGGAGTGGGGGCTGGCGTTTGTGGGGAGGTCGTTGTTGGCAGGCTGTTGGCAGCAGACACAGTGTCGATTCAAGTATGTGTATGGGGAGGAGCAGTGGAGGGGAACTGGGGGGCAGATGAGGAGGGGGAGCATCGTAGTGAGGAGCGTGAGAGCAGCTTTTGAGTCGACTCAAAAGCAGATGAGGAGGGGGAGCATCGTAGTGAGGAGCGTGAGAGCAGCTTTTGAGTCGACTCAAAAGCAGATGAGGAGGGGGAGCATCGTAGTGAGGAGCGTGAGAGCAGCTTTTGAGTCGACTCAAAAGCAGATGAGGAGGGGGAGCATCGTAGTGAGGAGCGTGAGAGCAGCTTTTGAGTCGACTCAAAAGCAGATGAGGAGGGGGAGCATCGTAGTGAGGAGCGTGAGAGCAGCTGCAGCAGAGGGGTTGGGGAGGCACGAGGAGTTGGGGACAGTGCATAAACACACATCAGCCACATCAGCACACAACTTACAGGCTTTGCAGCTTGCTTCCCTTCCCCAGCCTCTTTCCCGGACCAAGAGCTACCCACGGCAGACTCCAGAGCTGCCAGGTGCCTCGCCACCAAGCCTGGGTCAGAGCTTCGGTGCTCGAGGCGGCGGGAGGGGAGCGGCCAGAGCGGGTGCAGGTGTGGCGGGGGTGGCTGGTAGAACTGCGCTGAGACTTGACTTCGCAGCTCCAGCTGCTGCAGCAGCCGTTGCTGCTTCTCCTGCTGCTGCTGCGGGGTGGGTTGTGCCTCTTGTGTTAGCTTCTGCTGATAGTTATGACGCTGATACTGCTGCTGCTGCTGCTGCCTGTGCCGAAAGCGGTCCAGCGTTCGTTCAACCTGCCCTCCCTCGCTCTTCACCACTTGCCATGCCGAAACGTCAATACTGCTGCGACCTTGCCCCTCGCCCCTCAAGCCGCAAACCTGGGAGGCCTCGAACGCAAGCCTCCCTTGCTCCTCGCTTCGCGCGCTGTGCAGCCGGCCGGCTGTGACTGACGAATGCAGCCGCGATTGGCCGGCGACGAGAGGGGGAGGGGGGTCCACGTGGCCTGGTGTGACTGGCCGCAGCTGAGATGCCAGGCTGGGAACATAGGCAGTGGCAGTGCTGGTGGTGGTTGTGGTGGGGGTACTGTTAGTGTTACTGTTGCTGTTGTTGATGGTGGTGGCAGTACTGACAGTTTTGTTGCTGTCGGAGTTGCCGTTGTTGTTGTTATTATTATTGGTGGTGGCAGCAACCGCAGCACCCCCACCAGCAACAGCAGCAGCAGCACCACCACCACCGCTGCCACTGCTGCTGCTGTAGGTGCTGCTGTTGATTCTTGTCTGTCTCTCTCCACCAGCCTTCGCTGCACTGCGGCTAGCACCACCATTCCCAGTGCTCATCCCATTGCTTCCCCCACCGCCGACCCCACTGCCCCTCCCGCTGCAGCCCAGGTTACCACCAGCAGCAGGGGCTGAGTTGGCCTCTGCACCAACGTAGGCCGATGTTGAGGCTGCAGCGGCAGGTGGGGAAGCAGCACCACCAGCAGCAGCAGGCGCTACAGCAACAGGTGCTACAGCAGCAAAAGGAACTGGCGCTACAGCTGGTGATGCTGGCGCGACTGGCAGTGCGGCAGACATACTAGGTGCACCAGTACAGCGTGGAGGGTCAGGGCCAGAGGCGAAGGTGGTGAGGAAGGAAGAAAAGGATTCGTTGTTGGGAGGAGGGGAATAGCCTCCTGTGAGAAGATCGAAATTGCCTGACACCAACTGGGAATAGAGCGACGGATCTGACACCGCCCCACTGCCCATCGCACCTCCGATACCACCAGCAGCGGCAGCAGCAGCACCACCAGCACCAGCAGCAGCGCCGATTGCACTGCCGCCCACCCCGTGAACACCACTGATAGGAGGACAGTTGGGAGCAGCAGCGGTGGGTGCAAGAGCAGCAGCAGCGGAAGCTCCTAGTTCCGGACACCAGCTGTTGCTGGCCCTGTGGCGGGACCCAACCTGCCCCCCCACCTGCTGCTGCTGCGGCTGCATCAAGTGCTGCTGCAGTAGGTGCGGCTGCGAGTTACCAGCAGCACCAAAGGGGACCCACGTTGATGGGACGGCAGCACCAGAAGCAGCAGCAGAGGCAGAAGCAGAGGCAGAGGCAGAGGCAGAGGCAGAGGCAGGCAGGGGGAAGAGGGTGGGCATGCTGTGGGAAACGGGCGGAGGGGCCATGAACCCCCAGTCATCCAGCAGGCTGATCCCTGTGACGCCTGCGATGCCAGGGATGGTGGACGCGGAGGGGGCATGGTGTGACTGTGATCGCGGGGGCACTGCTGCAGCCACGGCTGACACCGTTGTTCCTGCTGCTGCTGAGCTTGCTGCAGCTGGTGAAGCTCCTGCTGACGCTGATACCAGTGCACGCGGCACTGGTGCCCCTGCTGCTGCTGCTGCTGCTGCCACTGACGCTACTGCTGTTAATGGTGCCACTGCTACCGCTCGAGGCACAGCAGAGGCAGAGTGGGAGCGGATGGGCGTGGGGGAGATGGGCATGGAGTGGTAGTACCGCGACACACCACCTGCCGCACCACCACCAGCACCACCACCAGCACCACCACCAGCACCACCAGCACCAGCAGAAGCACCAGCAGCAGCAGCAGCAGCGGCTGAGGGGGAGGGCAGGGCGGCATTGGCGCGCATCTGCGTGTTAAACATGTTAAAGTCAAATGCATCATCCGAGGGGGATGACGCTCCGGACGAGTCGTTATAGGAATTCGAGGCGTTGAGTGTGCCTCCTCTGACGCCCACGCTCAGCCTTGCTGCTCCCACTAGTGGTATTCGTGCCGAGGACTGTGCTGCTGCTGCTGCTCCTCCTCCCCCCTCCACAGCAGCAGCCTCAGAAGCTCTACTAGCATTATCAGCAGCGTTAGCAGCAGCATCGACCGCTGCAACGGCAGCAGAGACGGCAGCAGCAGTGGCCATACCAGCAGCACCAGACACGGTCACCTCTACCACCTCCCCTGCCACCGAGTCCCCTCCTCTTGACCCCCTACTCCCTGAATCTCCTCCTCTCAAACCCGAATCCCCTCCCCTTGAACCCGCCCTCCCCGAATCCCCTCCCCCTGACCCCGAATCCCCTCCCACACTCTGCCCCAGCCAGCTACCTCGCCCTCCTCCCCCTCCAAAACCTCCAGGCGCCATTCGTGTTGCCCTAGCCCGCCCCTCCCTACTCACGGGTCTGGACCACAGAGGGGAAGGTTCTAGATCCCTCCAGATGCCCGCAGAGCGGGGGGAAGGGGTGGAGAGCGGTGCATATTTCATGCTGAACGGTGCGGCAGTGGCGTTGTGGGCGGCAGAGGGGGAAGGAGAAGCAAGGTTAGAGTACCTCCCACTGCGCGTGCCAGGACCACCAGGGTATGCCATAGGGCTTGGAAGAACCAGGGGAAGACCCATACCCAGCGCCCCTATCAGCTGAGATCTCGGACTAGAATAATCCACCACACCCGCTGCTCCTGTTCCCCCTGTTCCTCCTCCTCCTGAACTCCCCATTCGCAGCCGGTCTGCCCTGCCCGAGCTGCTACCCACCCTGGATAAGCCTCCCCCAGGGCCGCCTCGGGAGGAGGGGCGTCTGCCGCTGCCCCCGTGGCTGGAGCCTGGGGTGGCAGGGATGTCCAGTGGTAGGTTGCTGCGGAGGCTAGCCATACCCGCATGCATATCTGAGGGATACCCGTGGTGGTGCCGTGGGCCGGATAGATCAGCGGGACCCTGTTGATGTATCTGCTGCTGCTGTGCGTGCTGCTGGTACTGTTGCTCCAGCTGCTGCTGATGGTGGCTGTGCTGGTGCTGTAGCTGGTGCTGTAGCTGGTGCTGGTGCTGGTGGTGATGCTCGGAAGGAGGAGCAGCGGAAACGGAGCGTGCGGGGGAGGAGAGGTGGGAGGGCGAGGCGGGGACAGGGTCGGGGAGGAGAGAAGCGGTGAGGCCGCTGCCGAAGATGGGTGCAGAGCCGGGGGGCGCGCGGTTGAGGCGAGCCGTGAAGAAGAAAGAGGAGCCACGGCCGGGTTCACTCTCCACCCAGATCTCGCCCCCCATCATGTGCACCAGACTGGGATGTGGGGGGAGAGAGGGGCAGAGGAATGGTCATTGAGGATTGAGGCGAGCTGTGAAGAAGAAAGCGGAGCCGCGCCTGGGTTCACTCTCCACCCAGATCTCGCCCCCCATCATGTGCACCAGACTGGGGGGCGGGGAGAAGGGAGGGAATGTAACATAGGGATGACGGGGGGTTAGAGCGAGGGAGAGCTGTGAAGAAGAAGAAGATGGAGCCCCAGCCACCCTAAGAAGATGGAGCCCCAGCCACCCTAAGAAGATGGAGCCCCAGCCACCCTAAGAAGATGGAGCCCCAGCCACCCTAAGAAGATGGAGCCCCAGCCACCCTAAGAAGATGGAGCCCCAGCCACCCTAAGAAGATGGAGCCCCAGCCACCCTAAGAAGATGGAGCCCCAGCCACCCTAAGAAGATGGAGCCCCAGCCACCCTAAGAAGATGGAGCCCCAGCCACCCTAAGAAGATGGAGCCCCAGCCACCCTAAGAAGATGGAGCCCCAGCCACCCTAAGAAGATGGAGCCCCAGCCACCCTAAACCTGAAGGTGTTCCCTCCCCCCCTCTCACCTCTGCACGATGACAAGCCCAAGCCCCATCCCAATGCCGCCATACACCCACGTGCTGAACGTGTGTGCCCATTCGTCGCCTACTCCCCACCACACATACCTCTCTCCCTTGCCCCGCTCTCACCTCTGCACGATGCTGAGACCCAGCCTGATGCCGCCATACACTCTCTCTCGTGCAGGATGTGTCCCCGATTCATCCCTCTCCCGTCCCCTCTCCTCTGCCCCGCTCTCACCTCTGCACGATGCTGAGACCAAGCCCGATGCCGCCATACACTCTCGTGCTTGACGTGTCTGCCTGCACAAAGTTGTGGAAAATCTCTCCCTGCTTCTCCCGGCTGATCCCAATCCCCGTGTCCTTCACAGCTACCATCAGCCACACCGACCCCCCTCCCTCACTCCCCTCCTCCCCTTCCTCCTCCTCATCCTCCTCATCTTGCTCCTCTCCCTCCCTCTCCCTCCCTCCTCCTCCTCGCCTCCCTTCTCCTTCCCTCTCCTCCTCCTCGTCACTAGTATCAAGCCGCTGGGTGCTCACATTAGATGACTGCCCCCACAGCATGTTCTTTATACTCATTCCCACACTCATACCGGCGCCACGCTTCCCCCTCCCCCCCTCCTCCCCTCTCCCCGTTCCTCCTGCTCCTCCCCCTCCTGCTACCCCTCCCCCGCCTCCCCCTTCTCCCCCGCGGCCCTCCCTAGGCTGCCTCTGGTGCTGCTGCGAGTAAAAATACCTCCCCCCACCTCTCGGCCTCACTCCTCCCTGCCCCCGCCCCTCTTGCACCCGCACACTCCTACTCCTCCCAAACCCTTCCAACCGCTCTGCACCCACCACCCTTGCCAGGTTGTCACTCTCGGTCCGGTCCAACACTGTCCCTTCAGGTGCGTAAACCAAGGGCTGAACACCCGGAAAATTCCCAGCATACGCCTTCCCTTGGGGAGTATACCCGGTATAGAGCAAAGACTGAGCTTGAGATGCCTCAGATGGTCTAAACCCGAAACCCTGGCCTCTAGCATGGGACCGTGCACTGCTGTTTCGGCTTAACTCCACTACAGAGGAATAATCACTCGCTTGGGACACATTGCTCCGTTGCGACACCAGAGGTCCGGGAGCCGAGCCTGGGGCGAGCGCATGCTCGGGCACGGAGCGAGGCTCGGAGCCAGGCGCGGAAACAGGTGCGGAAGCGGATGCGAGGGCCGGCATGGATTGGCGAGAGAGGGTGGGTTGCGGTGGGGGGAGAGCGCGGGCCATGGGGGAGAGCATGGGGGGTGTGCACGCTTGCATGGCACCCAGAAAGGACGGCTTGCCATGAGCTTCGTCTGCCTCCCCTAGGTCTCTAAAATCCAGGACTCTCTGTGGGTGTGGCGACCCTAACTCGTGATCACTATCCCTCTCCCTCTCTCTTTCTTCTCTTGCCCGCGAGAAGAACCCACTGCCGGCCCGCGACCCAGCTCCTCCCCTGCGGCTGCTCAGTCCCCCTTCGCTCCACTTGCCGCTGCTTCTCCCGCTGCCTGCCAGCCCAACATCTAAGAAGTCAACCCGCCTGCTGCGAGTCTCACTGGAGCGCGTTCGAGACACAGGCACCTGCAAGTCCTCCTCATCCCTCTCCTCGTCTCTGTCCACATCGCCACCTCTCCCTACACCCCTCTCTATACTCCTACCTCTACCCCTCTCTCTAGGAAACGACTCCCCATCTGACAGACTCCCACACTCCACCACTCCCTCACTCCCTCTTCCTCTAGCCGACACCCCCCCTCCCTCTCCCCCTCTTCTCGACCCCCGGCCCCAGCTCTTCTCCTGCCTCCTCCCACTCCTCCAAACCCCTCCCAAGTCCCCTGTTTCCTCCCCGCTATCTGTGCGTCCCTCTCCCCCTGCCCAGGGTTCTGACCAATCACCAGCCTCGTAACCAAGACACTGGTATACCCCTACCCCACCTCCCAGCTCAGCCAACTCCTGGCTGCCACGTCGGCTTCTCTTACCCGGACCAAAGAGGGAGGCTCGGCGGCTACCGGACCTGCCGAGCGTGGACCGGTGGGAGGAGGTCGGGCGGCTGGGAGGGTCGGAGTGCCAGCCTGAGCTAGCGTCTGGACAGGTGGGCCTGGGGGCGGTAGCATCTGCCTCTGCTACTCCTGCTGCTGCTGCCTCTGCTGCTCCTCCTCCCGATGGTGACAGTTGTGATGATTGTGCTGCTGCTGCGCCACAGCCATCGCCTAGCGCAGCAGCAGCAGCACCGCCTCCACCACGACGAGTATACGCATCACTCGATGCTGGTCTTACTCTCTCTTCTCCTCCCTCCCACCCTCTCTTCTCCTCCTCCCTCTCCCCTTCCCTCTCCTCCCTCCTGCCGTCTCCTCTCCTCCTGGTGAAGGACCTCCCCAGAAACGCGAGGAAACTTCCAGGAATCTTATCAGAAGCAGACAAAAGAACGCCTTCCCTTGACTGGGGCCGGCGTGACGCATCTGCTGCGGCGGCAGCAGCAGCAGCAGCAGCTGCAGCAGCTGCAGCCAGAGAACCCACACCACCAGCACCAGCGGGAGTGCTGGGGGTAGCAGGGCAAGTCATAGACCTGGGAACAGCCTTACGCTGCCTTTTCTGATGGCTGTGACGCTGTTGCCGCTGCCCCTGCACCTGCCCCTGCCCCTGCGCCTGCCCCTGCCCCTGCGCCTGCCCTGGCCCTTCCTCTTCAAGGTTGGAGATACATGACTTGTGGCGGCGGTGGTGGCGCTGCTGCCGGTCCTTGCGCCGCTGCCCCTGCTTCTGGCAGTGCTGCTGGCGCCGGGTGCTGCGGAAGAGGAGTGAGATCTCGAGGGTCACTGACCCTGTCTCTGTGAACTTGATCGCATTGCCCACTGGGGGTCAAAGAAGGGGTGGGGGAAGAGGGAGGGGTTTTAGAATATGGGGATGCTAGTGATGATATGGGTGCTGCTGTGGACCAGCAGTGAGACTTTGAGGGTCACTGACCCTGCCTCTGCGAACTTGATTGCATTGTTTTTGGTGCAGGGATGGGGAGGGGAAGAAGAGAGAGGGAGGGGAAATTGGGAATGTTCGTGAGGATATGTGGTGTCTGTTGCTGCGGAAGAGCATGGAGATCTTGAGGCTCACTGACCCTGTCTCTGTGAACTTGATCGAATTGCCCACTGGGGGAGGGATGGGGAGGGGAAGGGATGGCATAAGCAGGGGAAGGGAGAGGAGGAGGATGGAGGGAAGATGGAGACGTTTGTGAGGACACGGGTGCTGCTGCGGAAGAGCAGGGAGATCTCGAGGGTCACCCAACCTGTCTCTGTGAACTTGATTGCATTGCCCACTGTGGGCAGAGATGGGCAGGGGAGGGAGAGGGAGGGAAAATGGAGATGTTTGTCAAGAAAAAAATATGCTGCTGCGGAAGAGCAGGGAGATCTCAACTCCCCTCTCTCACCAAACCCATGGGGTTCGTTTCGTTGTCCTAGAACAACAGGGGAGCTGATAGAAGTAAGGCTAAGGCCTTTGCAGCCCACCTGTCCGCGACTGACACGCAGAGCATTTATTGGGTTCCTTATCCAGGTTGATGAGGCACTGCTGCAGCCAGCCTGGGTCCCCCATGAGCTCGAGCGGCGCTTTGGGAGAGAGTTGAGATAGCAAGAATTGATCCAGCCAGCATTCCAACAGCAGCTGATGGGAGAGAGTTATGAGCCTGCTTACCCAGGTTGATGAGGCACTGCTGCAGCCGGCCTGGGTCCCCCATGAGCTCCAGAGGCACCTTCTCCGCCACGTGCCATGAAAAGCCCAGCTGCTTCTGCTCTGCGCGCACCTGCAGAGAGGGGAGAGAGGCATGGGGAGGAACGGAAGGAAGGAGTGAGTGTGACCGTCTGAATGCCCGTGTCGCGCATCTGCTTCCATAAGATCCAGAGGTACCTTCTCCGCCACATGCCATGAGAACGCCAGCTGCTTCTGCTCTGCTCGCACCTGCCAGGGAGGAGGGGGGGGGGAGACAGAGGGCGGAACGAGAGGAAGAAGTGGGTGTGAGTGCCCCTACGAAGCATCTGCTAGACTACTACCATCAAGCATCTGCCCCCATGAGCTTGAGAGGCACCTTCTCCGCCACGTGCCATGAGAAGGCTAGTTGCTTCTGCTCTGCGCGCACCTGCAGAAAGGGGGGGGGGGGGGGGGGGGGGGGGGGGGGGAAGGGGAAGGGGCAGTGGGAGAGAGAGCGGAACGGGAGGAAGGAAAAGAATTGAAACCCTGTATCAAGTAAGCATCGGCTACCAAACCAGCACTGCCTGCACTACCAGCGGCACCACCATACGGATGGATCATGTGCGTGGTGGATCCGCCAGCACTCACCTGCAGCATGCGCATAGTATACCCAACCCACCCACATCCTGCAGCCGGAAAGGCACTTTATCCAGAGCCAGCTGCCCCGCCTCTATCCTCACAAGGTCCAGCACGGTGTTGGCGATGTTCAGCAGGCAAGGCAATCCCCGTGAAGCCACGCACCTGCAGCATGCGCATGGTCGACCCCACCCCCCACGTCCCTCAATCTGAACGGCACTGTATCCAGCGCCAGCTGCCTGCCCCGCCTCTATTCTTGCAAGGTCCAGCAAGGTGTTGGCGATGCTCAGCAGCAGATCCCTGTGAACCCACCACCTGTGAATCCCCGTGAAGCCACTCACCTGCAGCATGCGCATGGTCGACTCGACCCCACCCACCACATCCCTCAATCTGAACGGCACTGTATCCAGCGCCAGCTGCCTGCCCCGCCTCTATTCTTGCAAGGTCTAGAACAGTGTTGGCGATGCTGAGCAGGCAGTCCACTGACTGCGCCACCACCGTCAGATGCTCGTGTACCTCCACCGTTAGATCGCTCCGCTCCACCCAAACTAGCAGCACTGCCAGCCAGAGACAGAGCACCACCAGCACCTCTGAAACCACCAAGCAATGGACTCACCTGCAGCATTCTCATGGTCGAACCAACCACGTCCCGCAGCCGGAACGGCACTTTATCCAGCGCCAGCTGTCCGGCCTCTATCCTGGCAAGGTCCAGCACAGTGTTGGCGATGTTCAGCAGACAATCGGCCGACTGAGCCACCACCGTCAGATGCTCATGCACCTCCACCGTTAGATCGCTCCGCTCCGCTAATGCCGCTGCTGCTGCAGCGGCGGCGGCGGCAGAGGCAGAGTGGGAGGAGGAGTGATGAGGGATGGGCGGCAGTGGGATGGCTCGGAGGGACTCGAGGGTGTCCATGGCGAGCGCTGTCATGCCGATGATGCCGTGGATGGGCGTGCTGGGGGGGTGGGGGGATGGGAGGGGAATGAGGAGAGGAGATGGGGTGAAGGAACGGGCAAGATAGAATGGGCAGCAGCTTGGAGGGACTCGAGGGTGTCCATGGCGAGCACTGTCATGCCGATGATGCCGTGGATGGGCGTGCTGGGGGGATAGGGTGGAAGGTTGGGAAGAAGGGGAGGGGCGGGAGAGGGGCATGGGAGGGGAATGAGGAGGTGAGGCGAAAGGAAGGGTCCGGATGGTATGGGCGGACATCGCCCCTTCTCCCGGATGGTATGGGCGGTAGGGGAATGGCTCGGAGGGACTCGAGGGTGAAGGAACAGGGGCAAGATGGTACGGGCAGCAGCTCGCAGGGACTCGAGAGTGCCCATGGCCAGGGCTGTCATGCCGATGAAGCCGTGGATGGGCGTGCTGTTGGGGTGTGGAGGGGGGAGAGAGGAGCGAGGATGGAAGAGGAATGAGGAGATGGGGTGAAGGGGCCGCATGAATGGTATGGGTGGCATGGAACTTTGCCAGTGGCATGGCATGACGGCAGGCGTTACCGGATCTCGTGGCTCATGTTGGCCAGGAACTCCGTCTTGGCCCACCCCGCCTCCTCCAGCATGCAGGGGAAGACGTGAACCTAGACATCACTCAGAATCACTCAGGCAGAAGGGTGTCAGTGTATCTAACTTTCTACGCAGCAGAAGGGCAGGCAGGGCGTTACCGGATCTCATGGCTCATGTTGGCCAGGAACTCCGTCTTGGCCCTCCCCGCCTCCTCCAACTCCTCCTTTGACTTCTTCAGATCCTGTAACCGGACAGTGGGAGGGGGGGAGGGAGGGGAGGAGGGACAGAAGGATGGCAGAGAGCAAAAATGCTGGCCTGGCAGGATGGCGGATTCAGACGGGAAGTGTGTGACCGCTGTCAGTAGCGGAAAGGTGGGCTGCGGAGGTCTTCTTTCCATCAACCCGAATGGTTCTTAATACGACGGAACAAACGCCATTGAATGAATGAAGGGAGGAGCCTGGTTAGCTGTAAGCTAGAGAGTTTTCTTAGAGAGCCAGATTGAACCAATCGTCAGCTTAAAATCAGAACTTGCGTGAAAAGGATGGCGGAGAGCAATGATGCTGGGACGATGGCGGACTCAGACGGGAAGTGTGTGACCTTTGAGCTACTCAGGTGTCACCCGTCCCACCTCGTTCCAGTCACTACACAGGTCACCCAACACACAGACGTGTAACCCAGCCCACCTCGTTATACTGCCTGATCTGCTCTGTCCGCCGCTGCACCTCCCCCTCCAACCGTGCATTCAGACGCCGCAGCTCCTTCCTCAGCCGATTCGTGTCCCTCACAGCCGCCGCCACCACCACCCCCACCACTCCAACCGTCACCACAAACACCTGCAGCTGCAGAATCGTCTCATTCGCCTTCTCCCTCACCAGCGGGCCCCACCCTCTCGCCGTGCAGCAGCACGCGATCAGCACCACCAGCAGCAGCATGAGGCCCGACCCGTGGCGGTTAAACCTAACCGCTGCCCAGAGGACCCCCGGGAAGAGCATGTAGGGGAGGGAGACGATGAGCGGGCTGGCTCCTGGGGCGAAAATGAGGAGCGAGATGCCTGTGTTGAGGAGGAATAGAGCAAGGAATTCCCAGCTCTTGGGGGTGGAGAGGAGATGGCAGAGGAAGCGTGACCAGGTTTGTGTGGAAGGGAAGGAGAGGGAGGGCGGATGGGATGGGGAATGTGGAGAAGGAGAATTGGGCTGGACTTGTGCTGCTGATGTTGATACTGATGCAGATGCTGATGCTGCTGGAAAAGGTTTCCACACCGACACTTGCATAAGTAACGGCAGCGTGAGAATAATCCCCGAAAAGCTCGCCAGCGTTCGAAAGCACCCAGTAATGGCCGCGGTTTCAGGCGTCTCTGCCCCGATAAGACTCAGAACAATCGACACGATCCCCTCGAATATAAAAGAGATGAGGAAGGAGAAGAAGAAGAGGCGGAAGGTGTTGGACACGCGGTCGAGCGGGGTGAGGTCGGTGGGTTGGCGGCGGAGGAAGCGCATGAGGAAGAAGGCGAGGAGGAGCACAAAGAGCGTGCGGTCGGTGGCGATCACGAGGGAGTAGAGGATGAGGTGCAGGCGCGGCAGGGTCACGTGCAGAGCGCCGTAGGTGAGGGAGAGCGCGGTCCCTGATAGGAAAAGTGCAGGCCAGATGCGATAACCTAGAGCCTGTTGGGGGGAGGGATGGGGTTGAGGATGAGGCGAGGGGTGGACGGGCCAACAGAGAGCAGGATTGGCTAAAACGTCCCAGAGCGGTAGCAGGGGAAGAAGGCGAGGAGGAGCACAAAGAGTGTGCGGTCGGTGGCGATCACGAGGGAGTAGAGGATGAGGTGCAGGCGCGGCAGGGTCACGTGCAGAGCGCCGTAGGTGAGGGAGAGGGCCGTGCCTGAGAGGAAAAGCGCCGGCCAGATGCGATAGCCCAGTGCCTGTTGGGGGGATGAAGGGTGGGGCGGGAATGAGGAAACTTTTGAGGCGCCTCAAAGGCGCGGCATGCGGTAACCCAGTGCCTGTTGGGGGGAGGGATGGGGTTGGGGATAGGGCAAAGGCAGGCCAACGGAGCACAAGATTTGGCTAGACCGTCTGATTTGTAGGTGAGGGAGAACGTCCCTTTCTAAGGGATTCTCGGAAACACCCTGTCGAAGGAACCAAGTGAAGGGAGCGCTCGCTCGTGACGACGGCAAAAGCTAAAGAAAAGAACACCCTGTGGTACCAAGGAGTGGGAGAGAGAGCTCACGAGGACAGCGAAGAGCGCGAGGCCCGTAGGGGGCCAGACAGGCGCCGGCAGAAAGAGCAGGTCGCCCACTTTGGCCGCGAAAAGCATGGCAGCTGACACTCCCGTCAGTCCCACCGCCACCAGCAGCACCAGCACGGCCTGCTGCCACCACCCCAACTCCCGCATGCTAATCACCAACGGCCACGTGCTCCTCTTCGCCCCGTTATAGGCTTCCCCGATTTCGTCCTCCTCGTCCCCTGCGTGGCTGCTGAGACTCTCGTCTTCGTCGCCCTCCTGCCCGTACTCGTTAAGACTAGACTCGCCAGAAGACGAGAAGCTCTCCGCGTCACGGTACGAGTCGCCGCTGCTCTCACTCTCACCGCCTCTCGCGGCGGCATCGCCATCGGCCAAGCCTCTGGCAGTCGCTATGGTTACCGGGTTACCATCCGGCATGTCCGCGAGGCCATGCGAAAGAGTCTCCTGCCTACCCATGTCCATCTCGACTACGTAAGCCCCCCCCTCGCTCCTTCCGCTTCTAGCACTGCCTCTATATCCCCCATCGTCCCTCTCTCCGCCTCTCTCTCCGCGTATCATGCTATCCCCGCCTTCCCCCCTCCTGCTCGCGCCGGCGGACTGCCCCATTCTCCCGCTGGCGCCGCGGCCGATTCGGCTGTCGCAAATACCGGCTTCCTCGCCGATTTCGCCGTCGGGATCTCGGCTGTCGCCTTGCTCCAGGTCCCAGTCGTCCGCGCGAAACGAGTTCGGCTGCGACAGCTGGTCGAGAGCCGACGGCCACTCTGCGACGTCGCCCTGCGACCGATGATCGTCCGCCAGGGCGTACTCATCCTGCGCCGCATCCCGCGCCGCTGGGCCTAGTGATACGAGCCGCGGTGCGGCTCGGTCACTTTGATACTCTGCAGTTAAATGGCTCCCGTCCATCTTGTTATTCAAGGGAGCGCGAATCGTTTCACTCGCATCCAAATCGTTGAATGCTATTTCGAAACAAGGTCAATGCGGAAAATAGACCCAAACCAGTCTCGCCTAGAGCCTTTCCCGTCCATTCCAGCTCTCCGCCTCCTACGAACATCGCTAACCGCTTGGACTGGTAAGCGCCGACCTAAAAGTCCTTGTGATTATAACTCCGTGTTCTGTTAGTTCCCCGAGGCGGCTTTGCAACTAAGGACGTCAAATATTCAGGAAAAAAAACGAGCGGTTCTGTTCATGCAAAGCGGTTCTGTTCATTCAAAGCGGTTGAGTACGATGATCTGCTCTTTAGGGCGGCGTTTCAAACCACCACTTTGAACCACTCACTACTCACCATTAGACATTGATACATGAACTCTGAAAACCAACTCTCTCTCGTCGCGACCTGCTGTCTCTGCTTCCCCTCCCCTGCCTCAATGCTCAACTGTTCATTCATTGTTGTGCTGAATGCTGGTGCGGTGTGGGTGGGAAAGGGGAGGTGGGTCCGTCTGTTGGCTTGTGCACATTTCCTGCACACGCCTCACAGCCTGACGAAGCTGGTTTTGCCCTTGGGAACAGTCACTATGGCTTCGCCTGCAGGACCTGAAACCAGCTCCCAGGTATAACGAAACTGGTTACCATGCTTATGAAATCGTGGAGTTTTCGTCAGGGAGTGCTGCTTTCAGGTAGAGGTTCTCGAGGTACCTGAAGTTTGACGGCAGAGTCACTAGTGGAATGGACGCGAATAACGGATTGGTTGGAAGGCCCCAGATCTTGTCGCACACAGTACAGTAACGAGAAACCGAAGGCGTGGAATCAAACTGAAATTCCTTGAATTTTAACCACGGAAACAAAACTCATTCAACTCAATCATACTATATATCATATATAAAAGAGCCAATACAATTCTTCTGTACACATGCCCATACTCCTTCAAATGTTGTACTTCATCATCCAGGGAAACTCTGCATTTTCCACAGGCACACAATGAGCAAGCGGTTGAAGGTTTAAGTAAAATCAAATCGTTTAGCAAACCTGAGCAACTAGAGACTGAATGTATTTTACTTTGTTACCAAACACTCACCATGAATCTGTTGTATCGTCGCCCTCTCCTCTGGATCTTTCTCAAGCATCCTCCGCACCACCGCTTTCGCTCCCTCCGACACTCCTTCCCACCGCGGCCCCTCCATGCGAGCCGGCCCGTGCATTATCGCCTCAACCAGCGTGCGGTTCTTGGTGGCAAAGAAAGGAAGAGCCCCGGAGAGCATGACATAGAGCACGATGCCGGCGCTCCACACGTCTGCTGCCGGCCCGTACCTGCCTTGCAGCAGCTCCGGCGCCATGTACATGGCCGTTCCCACTGGGTCCATGCAGGGCATGCCTGGAACGGAAAAAAGGCAAGTCCAATATGGGGAGAGGGAACCAATGAATAACACAAGCAATGTAGGGTGTGCCTGGAACCCAAAAAAACAAGTCCAAGGAGGGAGAGAGACACAAATGAATGAAGAAGCAGCTGAGTCGGGCTTAATCTTGTGCACCACTTGCTATAGTAGCACCACTTATGGCGGCGCTTCTTACCCGGGGAAAATCGGGTTGCAACTCCAAAGTCCCCCAGCTTCACAAGAACCTTCTCCCCGTCCCCGCCGCCACCTCCCCGTGCATATATAAGCACATTCTCCGGCTTCACATCGCGGTGAATCACGCCCAAGTCATGGCAGTGCTGCAGCGCGTGCAGCAGCTGCGACAGGATGCACGCAGCGGTGGGTTCGGGGAGGCGTGTGCGCATCTTGACATGGTCGAAGAGGTCCCCATGTCGGCACAGCTGCATCACCAGGTGCACTGCTTGGGGGTCCTCAAAGACAGAGTGCAGCTCTACAATGCCCGGATGCCCTTTTACTTTCTCCAGTGCTTCTACTTCTCGCCGAATGTCCTCTGCTGCGGGCAGGGTCTGGGGAGGGACGGGGGAGGGGCGGGAGGGAGCGGGCAGGAAAGATAGACAGCTGAGATTAAGATGCAGACAGTAGCAGCAGTGGGCTCTGGAAGGCGCGTGCGCGTCTTGACATGGTCGAAGAGGTCTCCGTGGTGGCACAGCTGCATCACCAGGTGCACTGCTTGGGGGTCCTCAAAGACAGAGTGCAGCTCTACAATGCCCGGATGCCCTTTTACTTTCTCCAGTGCTTCTACTTCTCGCCGAATGTCCTCTGCTGCGGGCAGGGTCTGGGGAGGGACGGGGGAGGGGCGGGAGGGAGCGGGCAGGAAAGATAGACAGCTGAGATTAAGATGCAGACAGTAGCAGCAGTGGGCTCTGGAAGGCGCGTGCGCGTCTTGACATGGTCGAAGAGGTCTCCGTGGCGGCACAGCTGCATCACCAGGTGCACGGCGTGGGGGTCCTCTCACGCCGGATGGCCTCTCACTTTCTCCAGTGCTTCTACTTCCCGCCGAATGTCCTCTGCTGCTGGGAGGGTCTGGAGGGGACAGGGGAGGGCACGGGGAGGGGAGTGGGAGGGAGCAAGAGGAGAAGACAGACAGCTGGGATCAAAGATGCAGACAGCAGCAGCGGGAGTAGCAGCTGCGGCGGCGGCAGCGGTGGCAGCAGCAGCAGCAGCTGCAAATGGGTCAGGATTCACCTGAATGCACGTGCGCCCTCCACCCACCTCAATGTTCCTCTTCTTGATGGTCTTGCACGCGAACGCCGCCCCGCCAAGCGCACCGCGCGGCACACACTTGTAGATCACCCCGAACTGCCCTCGCCCTATCTCCCGCCTGCCCACCACGAAGCGACTCTGAAGAGAGACGTACGGACGCCCCAACACGCTCCCCTGCACACCTCCCCCCTCTGCTAGTTTCAGTGGCGGGGGGCTAGCTACCTGCCTCTTCTGCTGCTCGTGTTGCTGTTGCTGCTTCTTCTGCTTCTGCTGCTCATTATCCTCTTGCTGCTTTTGCTGCTGCTTCTGCTGCTGCTGCTGCTGCGGCTGCTGTTTTTGCTGCTGCTGCCTCATCTGCCGCCCCTCAGGCTCACCACGCTCCTCCCCACGCCCACTGAACCGTTCTGAACCGTTCCAGCGACCTGAGCCACCACCGGCATCGCCTGCAGACGAGGGGTCAAACTGGCCCGACGCACGGCGGCGGCGACTGTACCCCGAATCACTTGGAACCGAATCAATCGCCTCAAATGGCATGTGTGGCGGCACAGCGTCCCACATATCGCCTGAAGGCACGGCAACATCTCTGAAGGACCCCACAGCCCCGCCGTACCCCAACTGTCTGCCACTGCCCACCGCGCCCCCACGTCTCCTGCTACTGGGGCTGTCTGGGACCGTAGAGATTCCCCTCATACTCCTGCGGGCTGAACTGCCTACGTCTCTGCCACTCTCTCTGCCACTCTCTCTCCCTATCCCTCTGCCTATCGCTCTGTCGTCTGTCATCCGACCCGCACCCGACTCATTCTTCCCTGCTGCCTCCCCTTCTGTTCTCACTGCTGCTCCCTCTGATACTGAGGAGGAGGACGAGGAGGATGGGGATGATAGTTGTGATATCGACGGTTCCCCATACAGATCTCCGTGGCAATACAAATCCCTGTGCCCAGCCGCCTTACCAGCCTTCCCATCCCTCTTACCCTCACCTCTTGGCACTGGCATCTCCCCATACAAGTCCCCCCCATGCACAACCGTCTGCTTTTGAGGCATGGGCATGGGCATTCCCTCAAAGCTCAACTCCCCTTGCCCAACCACCCCACCAGACTTGCGACGCGCTGTAGCCGCCGCTGCTCCTCTTGGCGTTTCACCATACAAGTCACCCCCATGCTGAACCTCTTCAGCAGCAGCCTTGCCATGCCTCGACTTTTGAGGCACCTCAAAACTCAAATCCCCATTCCGAACCGTCTCACCATCCTTCCCACACCTCTTAACCCCCTCTAAACCACCTCCCAGCTCCTCTTGTTTATCACCGCCTTTCGCTTTCTCCTCCTCGCCCGACCTAGGCCCATCCTCCTGGTCCTCCAAATACTCGTCTACATAATCGTCCGGCGCGTCTTTAAACGAGTTATCGAGGCAGCCTCTAAGGAGGTCGCGGAGAAGGGGAGGGGCGAAGAGGAACGAGGGGCAGGAGGCGCGGCGGCGGAAGGAGGAGAAGCCAAGGTGGGGAGGAGGGGGGAGAGGGGGAGGAGGAGGGCAGAGAGAAGGAGGCGGAGGGAGAGGCGGAGGAGGAGGGGCCAGTCGCCTTGAAGACCTTCCTTCCGTTCTCAGGTCACTAGCTCCCCCCGTTCTCATCTCCCCGTCTTCCCCCATTGTTACTTCCCCAGTTCCTCCCAATCTCAGCATTCCGGCTGTAGCAGCGGCATTCCCAGGGGATCTTGGAGGCGCCTCAAAAGCCTCCCCAGCTGTAGCGGCGGTATTCCCAAGGGTCGGTGACAACTGAGTCCGGCTTTCTGGTGAGTCAACGCAAGTCAACGCCGCCTGGCACTCGTCAGCTTCTCTGCACGGCCATACCTTGCCCGGTTCTACCTCCCCAAGTTCATCCCTCTGCCCCGCTTCCGCCACCCTCAGTTCTACCTTCCCCAGTTCTACCTTCCCCAGATCAGCCTCCCCCCGTTCGCCCTCCCTCCGGGGCTGCCCCTGCCCTTCCCGCGCGCTGCGCCTGCCCACCCACGACATGCTCGCGCGGCCCCAGCTGCGCCACGTGGCAGCAGCTGATTGGGGGAGCGGCAGGAGCGGGTGCGTGGGGCTCTGCACCACGGCTGACGCGCTCCGCGTGTGCCGCCCCCCGCGGGATACCGCCACCGCCGCCGCTGCTGCTGATTCTCCCCCTCCCCCTGCCGCTGCTCCTCCCCCTCCCACCCCTCCCCATACACCTGCACCTGCCACTGCCGCCGCTGCTGCCTGTTGTTGTTGCTGATCTCGTGCTACTGCTGCTACTGCTGCTACTGCTGCTGCTGCTGCCGCTGCACCGGATAAAATCTCCTCGCCGCTGCTTCTACTCTCGCTGCTCACGCTGAAGCTCTGGCCTCTCATTCGCTGCTTTTGTCCGAGAATCACGGGCCCGGCTTCCCACAATGGCAGGCTGCCACGTGGCGAAGCGACGGGGAGGGGCTGCAGCCGGGGCGACTCTTGCGGCGCCGTGGACGGCCGCGGAGAGAGGGGCGGCAGCAGCGCATTCGCGACCATTAGGGGACTGCCACGTGGCGATGTGACAGCCGTCGTGAGACTGCCACGTGTATAGCTATGAGATTGCCCGAACGTGAGACTGCTACGTGGCGATTTCACAGCTTGCCCCAGTGGAAGACTGCCACGTGGCGATTCGACAGCTTGCCCAAATGGGAGACTGCCACGTGGCGAATTGACAGCTTGCCCCAATGGTAGACTGCCACGTGGCGAGGGAACGGGCGGCGGCCGAGGCGACAGAGAAATCGGTTGGGGAGAGGGTTTCGCGTACATGTATGATGGCGTGAAGATAAAACCGCGGTCTTCCTCAGTAAACTCTTCATCTGCCCGTTCGCCTGCCCTTTTGTCTGCCTGACTGCTAGGAGAGCAATTTTGCGGGGGAAGCTGGCGCAAGCGCGTCGGGGAAGGGGAGAGGCAGGCGGAGGAGGAAGGGGAGGGGGAAGGCGAAGGGTTCCGAGGCGGCCGCTCGGCGCGGAGCGGCGGAAGGTACCGGCGCGGAGGGGAGGGGGAGGGGGAGGAAGAGGGGGAGTTGCGCGTCCACGCGGTCTGGTTCAGCGACTGCGCCTTGCGCAACGCGCGCGGGGCTCGCGACGCGGCAGCACCAGTAGTAGTTATAGTGTTTATAGAGCTACTCTTGCCAACGTCCCCAGGCAGTCGTAGCACCAGGGGGTTCCTGCTCGCATCGCGGCGCACCAACCGAGTCGAATTAGGGCTGCTGCTGCTGCTGCTGCTACGGTTACTGCTACAGCTGCCGCTACAAATGCTGCTACAGGCGCAGCTACAGCAACTGCTACGGTTGCTGTTACAGCTGGCGCGGGCACTCGCGGCGGCGGCGGCTCTCGTGGCGCGGAGCGGCAGCGGAGCGGGGCCCTGGCGCGGCGGGGAGGGGGAGGGGGAGAGACTGCGCTGCCACAGCGGGGCCCTCTGCGTCTCCGACTGCGCCTTGCGCAGCACGCGCCGGCCGCGGGGTGCATCCGGCCGCGCCGCGGACGAAACGGCGGCGGCTTCCGCTGCTTCCGCGTCTGCTGCTAGAACCGGCGTTGGAGGAGACCCCCAGAATTGCGGAGCTGGTTGGAGAACCGCTGGGGCTCTTGGCGATACTGCCGCTGTCGCCGTCGCAACAGTCGCTATTCCAGCCGAGGTCGCAGGCGACGCCGCGGTCGCAGCCGTCGCCGCAGTCTCAGACGTTGCCGCGGTCGCAGCCGTCGCAGTCGCCCTAACTATCGCCGCTGCCGCTGCTGCTGCGGCGGAGAATGATTGGCTGGCAGCCGCGGATCGCGTCGACAGGTACGCGCGCCGCCGTAGCTGGTTGTGCGCCTCGAGACGAGTCATCACGTCGCTGCTGCTTCTGTTTATGCTGTTACGGTTCGCGCCTCCTCTACGACGACTACTAATAGTTGTAGTACCAGTTGTAGCTGTTACGGTGTTACACTCACGCTGCTGCGATTCTAGAGTCGACTCAAAGATGTCGCCGCGGTTGGCGCCTCCTCTGCTTCTACTACTGCTACTTGTAGTGCTGCTAGCGTTACTCTCACGCCGCTGCAGCTGCTGCTGCTGCCGCTGAAACTCCCAAGGCTGCGGATTCAGCGCCTCGGCCTTACAAGTACTAATACCTGGGACGTGGGTTATGTCGTGCATCGACTGCGACGTTGTGCGACACCTCGGCGACCGTCGCTCTCCCCGTGCGACTTCCACAGGCGCATTCGCCGCCAAGGAAGCTTCAGCTTCACTACGAGCTCCCTGAACGTGTCGGCGCAGCGCCTTTGCGCGCGGATTCCCGTTATTATCACAATCCTTAAACTCCATGGCTAGCGGCATGATTGGGGAGGAGGGGCAACGCCGATGACCGTTACTCCCGTCCGCGTCGCGCTGCGAAATATTTCCGGGAAACACAAGCGGCGGCAAGCACGTCGGCGGCGCGTCTCGCCCTACGGCTCGCATCGCGCGTTCTGCCGCGTCATCGTCCTCATCCGTCGACGAGTCGTCGTTTGCCGGCTGAGCAACGAGCACCACCTGCCGGCCGTCAAAACCAGCGTCACGTTGCTCCTGAATCTCCCGCTGAACCGGCAACTGTCGGCAACTTGCTGCGGATGGTGCGAGCGATGTCGCGTTGCTGCTAAACGACGAGCCACGCCAACCAGCGCCGGCGGCGGCAAAATCCGGCAGCATCTGTCTGTCAGTTTCGACGCACGGGAATGCCGCGGCGATTGCGCCACTATCTGCTGCAAAACCCATTCTTCCTCTGATGATTTAATTCCGTAAGGTAGTAGCGGCTGTTTTTTAAAACACAGCGGCTTCTGCACTTGCAAATTCTTTTGCTACGCCTGCGGCGGGGCTTCCGTAGGAGTCCTACGTGCGGCGGCGCTCCGTCCTTCGGTCTCGCAACGCGGCGAGGCTTCCCGTAGTAAGTACTGCGGACGCTGTGGCTCGACTGCAGGTTTAATTACACGTAAGTCGAAACCGCGTCTGTCTGTCAACATTTAACAGCAATCTCTCAAAGGGCTAGGAAAAAACCCGTTTCGTTGGGAACAAGCGCGTCCCAAGAAGCTGCTGTGTTACGTACATAGATTGAAAAACATGGAAGATTCTCGAGCTAGGAGTAAACCGTCAAGACACCCCCTGGTTCGTCCTCTCCCACCAGAGAACGTGCGATGGAAATAATAGGATTCTAGGACGGGACAATCTTTTCGGCCATGCCAGATGTGGCATTATGGTGTCAATCGTGATGATGGCATGACCGTAGCATGAGATAGAGAACAGCCGTGGCTTGTGCTGGAGACACTGAACCCAGACATGGCGAGGCGACAAGGAGAAGAACGACGAAACCAGGATGTGTACACAAGAACGACGAGTAGGTTGCTTGCTGCTGTGAGCAGATTTTACATGAGACTACAGTGTCCACGACTACATGGTCCCAATGCTGCAGCGACCGAAGTGAAGAAGACAGCAACGACCACAACCCAGGTTAAATTAGTCCTTCAAAAGGACATGGAAGTACCGCTTTCCACCGCAATACAACGCATTATAATCAACTGTCTCCTACCGCATTAAACAAGGTACACAAGATGCCCAGCCCCTGCGCGCGAATTTGCCCTGCCGCGATGGAAACTCTGCACCCGTGTATTAGGGTGCCAGCCAGTTGCACCCCATTTACAAGCACCTCGAGCAATACGAACCACAAAAACGGAAGTTTGACAGAAGAGACCAACGTCAAGCGGTCAACAAAGAGTTACAACAATAAAAATAAAAAGCCCTTTTTGCTGAGTGCGAATTGACGAAAACTTAGCGAAATGCAAGAATCACTTAAGAGTCCTCTTTACAAGGCAACCTTGGGTTAGTCAAACGGGCATCTTGTGGAGATGGAGTTCATTTTTTTCCAGCAGGTGGGGTGGGAGGGGGGGAGGAGTTGTTTGTTCTGGTTGTTCGTTTATTGGATTGGTAACGACAGAACGGAGCTGATGCCGCCGCCCTGCTACCCGCCAAGACCAATCAACACATTTCAATTTTCAATCGCACAAACCGCGTCGCGTCAGACAAACTGGCCCAACATTATCAGAACAGACGGAAAAGGGCTAGAAATTCCCTGAACACCAGTGCTTGGTCTGGAGTTTCAAGGGTAGCCCACAAAAACAATTCCTTCCATGAACCAACACCTGCTTCGTAACCAGACCATCGCAACCTGCTGTGCACCCACACGTTGATGCAGAACATTAAAGTACACATCAACAAGATTTCTACCTTCCAGTTCCTAGAGTGCCTCTCACCCGTAAGCACCAGTGATGCAAGATTTGAATATTATTCCCCTTTCTGAAGTTCATTAATGCAAAAGCAGTGCCTGAACCGATGGGGCCGACAGCAAGTGGCAGCTTTTGGCGACACTAGTACAGTACAGTGTGTGAATCCCATTACAAAAAGTCTTGTTTCGGGCGCGTCTTTTCCAAAATAGTTTCGCGTCGCGGCATCCCTCTGATCGAGCGTCTGCGAACGGCTGCCGCACACGCCTGTTACAGTATCTGCTGTTACAAGTTTACTGGTCTCTACACTCCACCTCACCTCAGTTCCATGCCGAAGTGCTCGTCTGGAAACGGGTCATTCACAAACGCATTGCCAAGCAAATCTGGGGTTGCGAGAAAGCCATCCATTGCATGTGTAGATTATGCACACCACTTCGAGAAGCTTCTAGAATTTGGAGGCTGGAATAAAGAACGTCGCCTACACTGGTCGTCGTATTTTAGACCTAACCTAAGGACCGTGTACATATTATCCGAGACTGAGCCTGCTTGACGCCAGTCTTTTTAATCAGACACCTTTTTTGTTCGACGAAATGGCGACTGCCGGTGTCTCCTCATCCTTTCCCCACTCTTCCTCCCCAATTCCCGGCGGGAGCGGAAACGGAAGCGGCAGCGGGAGCGGCGACGAGAGCAGAGACGGCAGGGAGAGCAGCGGTACCATGCCGTCAACTTCCGGAGCTCCTAGTTCAGACGGTAACTTTGAGTGTAACATCTGCTTCGAAACGGCCAACGACCCCGTTATAACGCTTTGCGGCCACCTCTTCTGCTGGGCGTGCCTATATCGGTGGCTGCGCAGAAACCCTCACAATAAAGAGTGCCCCGTTTGCAAGGCAGCAGTCGACGAAGCCAAAGTCATTCCCCTATACGGCAGAGGCAAAGCGCCGTCCGATCCTCGCAAGAAACCCGTCCCTGACGAAGACGACGATATCCCGAGCCGGCCCGCCGGCCAGCGGACGGAATCCGTCAGGAACCCTAACGGAAGCGGAGCTGGAGCCGGCGGAGGCGGCGGGTGGGGTTACAACCATCCAGGCATGGGAGTTTTCGCAGGAGCAGGCGGCCCGTTCGCAACGGCCCAATTTGGCGGGTTCACTGTTTCCGCAGGGTTCGGATTGTTTCCCGCGCTTTTTGGGCTCCAGCTACACGCTTTTCCCGGGCAGGATGGGGTGCCCGGGGCAGGTGGAATCGGGGGAGGTGCATCTGGGGGAGGGCTGAACCAGCCGGTGAATCCGCAGCAGCAGAATCTGAATCCGGTGGAGCTGCAGCAGCAGGCGTTTCTGTCGCGGCTGCTGCTGATGCTGGGTCTCTTTGTGCTGATGACGCTCTTCCTCGTGTAACTCTCCACTGCATCGATCTGTTTTTTAGGCGCTTCTAAAAGAGAATCCTGTGGAGCTGCAGCAGCAGGCGTTTCTGTCGCGGCTGCTGCTGGTGCCGGGGCTGTTCGTTCTCATGATGCTCTTTCTCGTGTAGCTGCTGGTTAGCTGGACGGGGGGTGTAGTGACATGACATGGTGTGCGGGGCAAGGGAGGACACAGGGCGCAGTAACATAGTGTGCAGTGCAAGGGGACGGATGGTGCATTCAGGGTGGTAATTCAGGGGGGTGGAGGCGCTCTGTCTAGAGAAGTGGATGGCATGAGTGGTCGGAGCGCATATACGGTCGTTCTAGAAGCTACTGTGAATGGGGTGGGGGTGCACCCGTTTCAGACGTTGCATCAGGGTCGCTTTCTTGAATTCTCGAAAGTTACGTCCATTTAGAAGCTACCATGGATGGGGTGCGAGGGGCACCTACGCTGGTCACGAACATACGTCAGCGGAGTGGGTGTTAATAATTGCAAGAATGGGAGGCAAGGCTGCAGGGACTCCTGCAGCGTACGTGCTTCGTAGGTACCAATTGCAGCTTCTTTTGCCGTTTTTGGTGGCAGGAGTGGTAGCATAGCAGTCGTAAAAAAGGCAGTAGTAGCTCGCTTGTAGGGAGTTTTTGAGAATTCTCAAAAACTCCCTGCAGTCGTCAACTTTTTAGTTGACTCAAACGTCAATTCTCAAAAACGGAGGTGCAGTCGTCAACTTTTGAGCCGACTCAAACGTCAATTCTCAAAAACTCCCTGCAGTCGTCAAAAGGGCAGTAGTAGCTCGCTTGTCAGCTCGCTTGGGGTTTGCATTGCAGCTCACCGCAGGGCAGGCCAGGCTGTGTTGTAACGTGGGTGGGTTGGGTTGGGTTGGGTTGGGTTGGGTTGGTTGGGACCGGCTGGGTGATGTAATGTGTGTTGGGTTGGGTTGTTGGGGTAACCTACCAGTAACTTCAGTTTTTGACGGGGCCTGTTATTGCATGGTAAGAAAATAAGTTACGTATAGTACCGTAGGCTCTTCTGCCATGTGCTCTTTGGTGGGACTGCGTGGGTCGATCTGTTTCTGTAGCTGTTCTCCTCAGTAAGTTGATCAAACTGGATGTTGATGTACTTTTTTTACATGTACAGCTGCCTGCACTGAAAAAACATTTTTCCTACGGATTGCAGGGCAAAGCATGTTGCTGCTGCTGGGGCAGCCCTGCAGATGGAATACTGTACGGTAGGGTGAAACGGATGGACGGGCCATGGGCAATGGCCGCGCCTTCGAAGCAGCAATCATACCTACGCTGTGCCACCCACGGAACATAACAGCAGCTTCTGATCTGAGGCACTTGAATACAGTGGCAGCTTCTGCTGCTGCAGCAATGCACCCCAACTGAGCTACCGGTTTCAGTCAATGTTTAGGAATAGCAACCCTTCTGCCTGGTGGGAAACACTGAAACACAAGTACATCACACCAGAAACACTGTACTGTACATTGTTACATTGTAAAATTTGAGACTAGCCGCAGGAGGGCGGATGGGTGGACATGTAATACAGCTCTGCAACACACCACTCTGGTGTTGCACCACCACCCAAGCAGCGACACGACAGGAGCCCCTGATTCACACATGCAGGCTTCTTCTGAGCCCAACACACGCATCGGATGAATTGCATGCCTTGCTCATGACATGAAGCTGCCATGCCACGTTGACAGCTTTGCTGGCAACACAAGAGAGCAGATCCCCATCAGGGCCCCAGTAAAGCCCCAGCAGAGCCCCAGCAGAGCCCCAGCAGAGCTCCAGCAGAGCCCCAGCAGAGCCCCAGCAGAGCCCCAGCAGAGCTCCAGCAGAGCTCCAGCAGAGCCCCAGCAGAGCTCTATGACGGTGGGATGGAGACACGCTTCAGCTCAACAACATACTCCAGCGTCGCACCAAAACGTACTCAAGACATCCATGCATGTTGGCCCATAAAAACAGCCCCAGCAGAGCTCTATGACGGTGGGATGGACACGCGTTTGAGCTCAACAACACACTGCAGCACAGCCCCACCAACACCACCCCCTTCTTCCCCTCCCACCCCACCCTTCACATGAATCTATGAAGCGCGTCGCTCTACTGCAGCCCTGAACGCTGCTGAAAGAGTAGAGTCCTACGATGGCGGGATGGACACGCGCTTGAGCTCAACAACATACTCCAGCACAGCCCCACCAGCTTCACACATGCATGCATGCTGGCCCATAACAGCAGAGCCTTAGAGAAACCCTATGAAGGGGGGATGGACACGCGCTTGAGCTCAACAACATACTCCAGGACAGCCCCACCAACACCAACACCAACACTACCACTACCACCAACACCACCCCCTCCGTCTCCAAGATCCCCGGGCACCAAAACTTTTCTCCTCCCACCCGCCCGCATCGTCGCCATTGCCGACACCAGCCCCTCTGTGACCCCCCTGGGGAACGGCCGAATGCCAAACGAAAACACCAGGTCCCGCGCCCCAGGCGCTGTGGTGTCGATAAATGTTAATGATTCAGATTCTGAATCAGCAACTTCGGCTTGTGCTGGTAACGAGACACGGCCTGTAAGGGAGACGAGCACCAGGTCTCCCTTCTGAGGAATGGCGCCGCCTCCCACTCTCAGATCGGTGAATCGGACTCCATTGGGGAGCTCCGTCTCCTCGGCATCCTCCACATCCCTGGTGATCAGACACGCAAACAGGAGGGTGGGGTGGAGGAGGGGGAGGAGGAGAAAAGAGGGGATATTCAAGACAAGAGAGGTGAGCGCCAGGATTCCTTTCTGGGGAGTGGAGAATCCCCCACTCTCAGATTGGTGAATGTGACTCTGTTCGGAAGCCTAGTTTCCTCTGCGTCCTCCACATCCCTGGTGTTCAGACATGCAAATGATGCAAACGGGGGGACGGATAGGGAGAGGGAATGTGAATGCGTAAGAGACCAGAAAACAAGCACCAGGTCTCCCTTTTGAGGTGTGGAGCCTCCCCCGCCCCTGCCTCCCCTGCCCCTGCCTCCCCCGACTCTGCCTCCCCCGACTCTGCCTCCCCCGACTCTGCCTCCCCCGACTCTGCCTCCCCCGCCCCTGCCTCCCCTGCCCCTGCCTCCCCCGCCTCTGCCATCTCTTCCCACCCCGCCGCCCCGCCTTTTGCTCACCGCGTGTTGCTCTCTTCCAGAAACACCTCGCGCCGCGTCTTAATCTGCTCCGACACCACGCCGAACGCCAGGAACCCCACCCACGCCAGCCCCGCGCCGATGCCGAACCTACGCGTCACTGCCGAAGCTATCCAGTCCGTCGAGTCCGCGACGCGGCGGGACCGGCCGACTGATGACGTGGCAGTTGATTGCCGCTGCGAGTCCTTGCCAGACTCGGTATCGCGACCCGCTGATGTCGGCGTGACGTCATTCAAGTCACCCGTGGTGGGAGATGCGGAAGGGACCGAGGAAGTTTCCGCGGAAGGACCACCATCGCTGTTAGCGGAAGAGGCGGAGACTCGAAAGCACGGGCGTGCATTTAACGGGCGGAGGCGGATTCTAGTATTAACGAGCGGCGCCGTGAATGACGAACGAGACTTTTCAGCAGCTCGATTCGCGACGCATGGGTGATGGCTCCATGGCGTTCTGGCAGGTGACGGAAGAGCTAGAGATAACGCTAAAGCCATGTAATGGCACGTGGCAGTCGCGGTTGTGTGCTTGTGCCGGAGCTGACTGGTGGCAAGGCAAGTCAGTCAGCTGAATTTGATTTAGCTATGGCTGGTTCTGTGCTAGGCGTTCGTTCGAATTAGGGCAGGCAAGCTGGTTTGGTGCTTGAGTATGGTTGCTTCGATAAAAGACACAACATCCCACTATTGTGATAATAGTTGGCGTTCCAAAGTTTGGACCCCATCAGTTTCTTATTTACGTTTCCATTGGTGGGGTCAAGTGTTAAGAAATTTGACGATCACAGGTTTCTGCATTGAAAAGGAGCAGCTTACAGAGAGAAGCGTAGTTACATGGGTTTTTAGTTGAGCCAGCATTGTTACTGAAAATAAACGCCAAAGGCGCAGTATTGTCGCTTCTGTAGTACTATTACTGCCCAGTTTTCGTTTATAGCGTAGAGTTAAAGCCGTGGCCCAACTATCAGCTTCAACTTCAGGGTATTATACCTTGAAGGGAAAATATGTCAATGGTAACCTACATGGGGCACTATAACATGTACGGTAAAGATTCCATCGCGTTTGGTAACTCACTTGACGCGTTTGGTAACTCGCTTACCACGTTTGGTAGCTCGCTTAACGCGTATGGTAACTATACACTAGCAGCCCATCACGCGAATGGTAATGTTACGGGTGCAATTGAGTGATCGAACGAGAATTGCACTATCGAAGCAAGAGTACAATGAGCAAAGGCATGAGCGAAGAATATATAGCGAAACTACAGTGGTAACGGTAATGAACTGTGATTGACGCGCGACGGGCCTGGAACCGAGGTTGGGAAAATGTCGAGGCGGAGGCCCGGAGCGCGGGTTACCCGCCGAGCCGTGAGGTCGGGGTGCGACGTGCGAAGGTGGCGGGAGGATTGTCGATGCGAGGGTTGCGAGTGGTAACGGTGCTGACTGTGGTGCTACAGTGGTGTACGCGCTGAGCAGGGACGCGAAGTAAGGAAAAGAAATTTTCCTTACACTACCCCCCCCCCTAAGGAGGCCCTCCTTTACGAAAGTGCGTGTACATCCTGAAAATTGCGGCTGCGCAGATACTCAAGGAGGACGGGGTGGTTGTCGATTCTGTTCAGGGGAACCCAGTTGTCTTTGGTGGGTGTACGGTCTCTCCAGTGGATCAGGAATTCGATCCTTCGAGCTCCTCGTGGGTCACGAACTCGGTGGCTCAAAATCTTTTCGGGCGTGATGATTGGCTCGGTCGGCGGTCGTGTCATGCTGGTTGGGCGGTTGCGGGGTAGTTGGCTGGTGGATGGTACGTAGGGGCGGAGCAGGCTGACGTAGAAGGATGGGCTGACGTACCAGTCAGCAGGGAGGAAGAGATGGGCGGTGACGGGTGTGATCATGTGGCTGATGCGGAATGGCCCACAATATCGAGGGCGGAGTTTTGGAGTAATGGGTAGGCGGAGGTTCTGGGTGTCGAGTAAGACTAGGTCGTCGGGCTGGTAAATGACAGGTCGGCGGTGATGTTTGACTTTTTAATTGCGTCTGCTGCCCGGGTCCGTGCTGCTTGTAAAATTTCGGCGAACTGTTGCGTTCGTGGCACTGGGTTGTCGGGATTTGGGGTCATGGGTACTGTTGGGTCTGTCAAACTTAAATGCTATAGTCTGTGTAGGCTGTAGTGGGGTAGATAATATGGGGTACAACACTTTTAGGTTTTCCTACTTGTACCCACCTGTTTTCCTAGTGCATTCATTCCTCGTTCATTCACATGGTATAGAGCAGATTCCCTAGTGGGAACGTTTCCTAGGGCCCACCGAAAATCGAATTTTTTTTTCCTGCCCGGAGCGCGCTTCGCCCTTGCCCGAGTCGCGCCCCGTGTGCCTGCCCTCCTGTCGCGTCACCTGCCCTTAGCGGCCCGTCGCACTCTCTTACGGCCCCGTAGCGGCCCCTCTCACGGCCCCTCACGGCCCCTCTCACGGCCCCTCGCGGCCCCTTCAGGCCCCTCGCGGCCCCTTCGTGGCCCCTCGCGGCCCCTTCGCGGCCCCGTCGCCGCCCTTTTCGGCCCCGTCGCCGCCCTTCGCGGCCCCTCGCGGCCCCTTCGTGGCCCCTCGCGGCCCCTTGCGGCCCCTCGCGGCCCCTTCGTGGCCCCTCGCGGCCCCTTATCGGCCCCTTCGCCGCCCTTAGCGCCCCCCCCCCCGCCGTTGACAGCAGCAGCCGCCGCCGCCGCCGACAGCAGCAGCCGCCGCCGCCGCCGACAACAGCAGCCGCCGCCGCCGCTGCCGTGTCAGCCGCCGCCGCCCCTGCCCCGGCCGCAGCAGCCGCCGCCGCCGCCGACAACAGCAGCCGCCGCCGCCGCCGCTGCCGTGTCAGCCGCCGCCGCCCCTGCCCGCTGCGGCACCCTGGCCCCTGGAGCAGCCGCCGCTGCTGCAGCCGCCCCTGGCCCCTGGAGCAGCCGCCCCTGCAGCAGCCGCCCCTGGCCCCTGGAGCAGCAGCCCCTGCAGCAGCCGCGGAGCCCTCGCCCTGCGGTGGTAGCGGCCTCACCATTGCCGTTGTCGTACTCTTGCCACTGGTGAGCACTGCTGTTACTGCTGTTACTGCTGCTCTTGCTGCTACTGCTCTTTTTACTGCTACTGCTGCTCCTGGCGTGGCCAGATGCAGCTCCAGCGCCGTCCGCGTGAGTCCCTCGCCCCCCATCAGCTTCGTGAGTGGTATGCTAGTTGGGGTTGTAGGGGTGGCCGCACTGCTACTACTGCTACTGCTTCTACTGCTGCTACTGCTGCCACTGCGGCTACCACTGCTCCTGCTGCTCCTGGCGGTGGCCAGATGCAGCTCCAGCGACGTCCGCGTGAGTCCCTCACGCCCCAGCAGCTTCGTGAGTGGTACGCTACTTGGGGTTGTCGGGGTGGCCGTAGTGGGAGTCGTTCTGGAGTGAGTAGTTCGGGAACTGCTTGTAGTGGCCAGGTGCAGCTGCAGCGTCGTCCGCGCGCGGTCCTTTCGCCCCAGCAGCTTCGTGAGTGGTACGCTCAGCGTGGAGGGTCACGGAGTACTGCTCGCTGTCCGTACGTCATTCGCACTGGTGCTCGGACTGGTCAGCCTTGCGGGACGTTTGGTCACGCAGAGTCCCGCTGCTTCGCCCGTCTGAGCGACGCCTGGCGTACGGAGTTTGGCGACGCCGCTGAGCTCCCCGACTGGGTGGAGCTGCTTAGGCAGAGGGTAGATATCTATGCTCTTGACTATGATGCTATCCTCACTGCCATGTATGCATTGCCTACTAGTGCTGAGGGTGACTGTTACCTGTGTGTTCCGCCTGACCCGGGCATTGAGGCTGCTGCTCTAGGTGCTGGTGAGGCTGCTGCTCTAGGTGCTAGTGCGTCTGCTCCTCCAGGTGCTGGTGAGTCTGCTGCCCCAGGTGCTGGTGAGTCTGCTCTCTCAGGTACCACGTCGTCTCAGGTTTTACACACCTTCACCCTTGACTCGGGTGCTTCCCGCTCCTTCTTTCGAGACCGCACCACACTCACGCCGCTTAGTCGGCCGGTTGCAGTCTCCCTGGGGGTCCTGTCCTTGCCCACTTCTCCACTGTCTTACCGTGTCCGGCGGCCCCTTCTGGCTCCCTGTCAGGTCTTTACCTCCCCTCGTTCTCTACGAACTTGGTGAGTGGTGCTGACCTACAGGATGGAGGGGTTGACCAGTTCACTCCTGCGCGTCAGCGAGTGACCCACTGTACGTGTGCTTGGATGGGCCGACACTTGGCCACGTTTACCCGTCAGCCGGGGTCGAGCCTGTACACACTGACTACTGAGTCTCCTCAGGTAGCTGCGTCGGGTCAGGTGTTTGCTGCAGCGTCCAGGTCTGGTCCTGAGTCTGCCCCCTGCTCGTGTCATCTCCTGTCTCACCAGACTCTCCTCTGGCACCACCGCCTTGGTCACCCCTCCCTGCCTCGTCTCCGAGGCATGGCCTAACGTTTCCTTGTCTCGGGTCTCCCCCGGTCCCTCCCTTCTCTTCCTCCGGGGCCTGCCCCCACCTGCGTTCCCTGCGTCGAGGGGCGGCAGCGCGCCGCTCCTCACTCCTCCGAGTTTCCTCCGACAGAGGCTCCGCTGCAGACGCTTCACATGGACGTGTGGGGCCCAGCCCGCGTCCGTGGACAGGGTCACGAGCGTTACTTCCTGCTGGTGGTTGACGACTACTCGCGTTACACCACAGTCTTCCCCTTGCGCAGCAAGGGTGAGGTCACTGAGGTGTTGATCGACTGGATCCGCGCAGCTCGTCTCCAGCTCAGAGAGAGTTTCGGCTCGGACATTCCTGTTCTGCGACTGCACTCCGACAGAGGCGGTGAGTTTTCCTCTGACCTTCTGCGAGCCTTCTGTCGTGCACAGGGCATCCGCCAAACGTTCACGCTTCCGGCCTCTCCACAGCAAAATGGGATTGCTGAGCGCCGCATTGGCATGGTCATGGACGTCGCTCGTACGTCCATGATCCATGCGGCTGCTCCCCATTTTCTGTGGCCGTTCGCGGTTCAGTACGCGGCGCATCAGATCAACCTTCAGCCCCGGGTCTCCTTGCCGGAGACCTCCCCTACTCTGCGGTGGACGGGGAAGGTTGGCGATGCGTCTGCGTTTCGTGTCTGGGGATCTCGGGCTTTTGTCCGCGACTTCCTTGGCTTCCCCCCTGACGCGCCTGGTTGGCAGTTTTACCACCCCACCTCGCGCCGTGCTCTGTCCTCCCAGGACGTCACGTTTGACGAGTCGGTCCCCTTCTACCGTCTCTTTCCCTACCGCAATGCCCCACTCCCCCCTCCGCCGCTCCTCCTCACGCCAGGTGCTGCCTTAGTAGACCCCTTGCCTCCCCAGGGTCCTGCTCCCTCAGGTGTTTCCCAGGTAGACCCGGTCGAGCTTGTCGAGGTAGCTGTCGACTCTGGTCCTGCGCGAGGTACTGAGCGTGCTGAGCCTGGTGGTGCTGGGTCTGGAGGTACTACGACTGGGAGTGCTGAGCCTGGGGGTGCGGAGACTGGGGGTGCTGAGCCTGGGG